CGCCATTACGACACTGTAAATCACTGGCAGTTTTTGCAGACTTTCTTCCCAAATATTGAATCAATGCTACCGAACATCAAATATTGCTGGCGCAGTCTTGTCCCCGCTCGTGAGCAACTTCTGCCACTCCTGGTCCAAGTGCACAGTGTTCTAACCGAGATTGTGCTGTATCCAGAGGCAGTGGATGGGAATATTTCCTGGCGAGGCCGATGGGAAATGTTCCCACCGTGGATTTGGCCAGGCATGCAAAACTGCATTTGAAACGGACAGAAGCACTGAATTTGCCAAATGATAGATTCCATGCAAGGAATTGGATTCCTTCAAATCCTTTGATTACATTTGTCACATAAACACGACAAAGCACGGCCCTTGCACCTCAAAGGCGATGTTGGGAAAATTAGATCCCGTTCACGGAAATTTTTTGTGCTGCTGCCTTGTGAGCCACATTTCTCGGTATGGATTGTCAATCCCCGCGCCTGTGCCCACAGTGCAGGACACCACCGCCCCGGACGATCACTGCACTGGCAAGACATCGAGGATATTGCAGTTTGTGTCGGGCTATCCCTCACAAATTCACTGTGTCCGACACGGCTTGGCCCAAAACAATTTACCTGGACAAGGCGTTCGGCAAAGTTTTAGGAAAGCAACCTCAATTCGTACTACGTGCGGGCAGGCTCAGCAACCAAAAGAAAAAAACGTGGCTTGCCCATCACCAGAGGCCGCCGGCCTGGCGTCGCTTCGGTGAAACCCCGGCGGTTAAGGCCCCGCAGCGACGCGCCCCGCGGCGCCCGGCGCCCAAAGTGCCGCCGAAGCAAGAAAAGCGCCGCGAACCTCAGCAGCCCCCGGCGGGCCTAATGTGCCCCTGGCGGGCCCCCGGCGCGCTCTGGGGACAGCCACGTGTCGGGAAGCGCAGCCCCGCGGCACGCGTCACTTTCCCCCCCGTTGGAATTATCAGGCTGACTAAGTGACCGCGCTCGCCCCTTAAACTGGATATGCGCCCTGGCACGTCTGCCTGCTGCCTGCTGTCCCCTCCCCCCTCCCCACCCACCCACCCACGCAACCCATTGCCGACTTGTTCCCTGCTCAGCTTTTCTCCTTACCACCAGAGGCCACTCGTGGAAGCGCATCTCCCGGGCCGGGGCCCATCATGGCGAGCGCCGCAGCTCAGACGATCCCCGAAGAGGGCCCGGCTCCCGCCGCGCCGCTCAATCCGGCGGGACCCCCCGCCGCGACCCCCAACTGGCGGATCGTCGCCCTGATGCTGCGCGCCGTGCAGCGCTTCCACAGCTCGATGAACCCCAAGGTAGACTTCCGCAAGCGCAGCGCCCCATCCGCGGAGGCCAATCCCTCCCCCGGCCATCGCAGGATGATGAGTGAGCCGATCCCCGGCTCATCGGGCGCCCCCGGCGGCCGCACGCGGAGCGCCGATCCCAGGGTGGGCAGCGGGAAGATGGACTGCGGGCCGTCGCTGAGGAAGGCCCCGTCCAGCCGCGGGCACATGACGTCCTACCTGTTCAAGCCGCTGGGCGGCAGCGTGCGGGAGGACCCCCTTAGCAGCATGAGCCCGCGCTGAGGGCAGACGAGGACAATCACGGGCGGGGATCTTTGCTTTTCGAGGAAGGGGTGCTTTCTGCGCTTGTGGCGTTGGCCAGAGAGGAGTTGGCGCGGTGATGTGGCGATCGGAGGATTCCGCGGGTGCGAAGATGGGGGCCAATCCCTGGCGAGGAGGGTGGTCCCAGCGGCGCGAGAACGCGCCGAGGGGAAAGGGGCGCCGAGAATCGCCGGCGCGGCGCTTTTTGCGTTTCGAGGAAGGGGTGCCTTTGGGGCTTGTGGGTGGGAGAGAAGTTGGCATGGTGGTGTGGCGATGAGAAGGATTCCGTGGGAGCGAAGAAATGGGGGCCGATTTCCCCGCCGAGTTGGAGGCGCATCAAGGGGATGGGGTGGCGGGAGGGGTGGGTGCGGCTTTGGCGCTTGGGGCGCTGGGCAAACCGGCGCCGGCGCGGGCGGGCGCGCGGCCGTTTGGCTGCGAACGGACGCGACGGTGGCGGGCAGGAGAGGAGGAATGGGACTCTCAGGGGCCGGAGGGGCGGAATGTGGACGGCGTCCCATCGATAGTACTGCGGCTGTGCACGGGGGCGGGGCCCGCAGTTGCCGATGCGGGCCGCCGGGCCCGGAGCCAGGCGCGTTGGAGAATATTCGCTGCATCGCCATTCCGAAGTTCGCAGATTGTAGGCGTGCCGCGGGTATTGATTTTGAAGAATGCGGGAGTGGTATGTTTTTTTGTTCGGGTGGGGGCGTGCGCTGGGTGGCTTTTCAAGGGTGCCGCACCTGCGAGCGCTTGTCCGGATTGGTGCTGTCTGTAAATAACGGAGCGCTGCGGTTGTGGCCAACGTCGGTGCTGGTGGGTGGCGGTCTGAGGTGGAGCGAAGCCACCTGGTGCGGTGTCCAGTCCGCAAGCGAAGTCGCATGTTTGAGTGGTGAGCGCTGCCTGCGGGAGCAATGTGATTTGTCGCCGGCCTTCCGACTTCATTTTTCGGTAATGGCAATGTGGCGAATGCGACATGCTGTGTTGCAGATCCCCATAGCTGGTCATTTGTCGAATCGCTAATAACTAGTCAATACAATAGTGCGTTTACATCCCTGCTGAGAACTGTCATGGTACATAACATAAGCATTCCAGATGCTGGTGGTCACTGCTACTCATCTGCCAGATATTGCCACCCGCTAGAGAAGACATTGTGTCGAATTTGGTGTACCAAATTTGCGTACACGCTTAGCGTCAATTTGACGCTGGGGGGGGGTCCGGACGTGTGACGCTAAGAGATTATGTCATTGACACAAAGTCAGCATAAGGTGGTAAAACACACAAAAATGCTGCTGATCAGCGCCAAATGGATCTTGAATCTTGAATGAAGCTCAACTCGCAGCCATCAAGGCAGCCTCAATCACCTGCAACGGTGCTTACTGTCCCGTTTTCCAGCCCAGCATAACGTCGTTATGTAATATTGCTAAATTATCCTGGCGTCGACACAAGGACTGACGCTAAGGGAGGGGCCGGGGGGTGGGTGTGGGTGTTAAGATGGCTTAGCGTCAAATTGATGCTAAGCGTACCAAAATCGACACAGCATCTTCGCATACCCTCCCCAGGGTATTCCCAGAGAATGAAAAACTGGTCCAAAGGAACTTTTGCAATGGAAGTGGCCGAGATGAAGCTTTGTATGCGATCTCATGCATTGAATTCCACACTGTTTGTCTGTCTCCCATTGACAGTCAATGTTTTGGAAGGGAAGCACAGACCACCCTATGTGGGTTGTGTGATGCTTGCGTCTTTGGAGTTTCGATCCGCAGGCATGTATCACTGGGATGGCTTCATTGTTCTCTCCCGAACCTGGAGTCCTGACCTGCGATGCCACTTCAAGCATTGTTGGAACGCTCGTGAACAGTTAAGCTGGCCCTGAAAGAACACAATGAGTGAATATAAGTATAATGTGAATAGCTTTAACGCACAGTGCTTTACGCAGTACTGTGGTTGAGTCACGCCAAATATAATTCCAGCAAGGGTTAACTGCAATCCAAAATTGCAGTCGTACCGCCCGTTCGAGGATGTTGGCAGCAAACTTGTTGACGAACTGCAGCCGTTTACGCTTTGCAAGACCACCCAGTGCCAACACACCAACGCCACGTTCGCGTTACGCTGCGCCACGACGTTGCGCAACGTCGACGAATATCCTGATGCGTTTTCATCGCAATAAAAAACGCGCACAATGCGCTCTAAAAAAAGGCACCGCGGGTCGCTGAAAATTCAGTCACCCGCTGCACCTGGCAGAAACAGCGCCCAGCACCAACCCAACACCCCCGTGTGCAGCCCGTTCGACTGCCACCCTTCACCTACAGCCGCGCAGCAAAACGCAGAGCCAAACAGACGCCGCTTCGGCCCGCGCCCTGCTGCGCGCTTGGGACGTGTGCTGACCAACGGCGTGCTTCTCAACCGCACGCGAGGCCGGCTGATCTGCCTTCAGCCCATCCGTGGTAAGGACGCGGGGCAACTGGAGTTGGCTCAAGACTTTGTTTTGGGCCTCGCGTCTGATCGTGCCCTTCGTTGCATTTGCAGGCTGGCGGCCCAAAGCATGGCGGGTCTGGGGGGTCCAATCTTGAAAGGGATGGCGCGAAATGGGCCATCCGCGTGGATGCCTCGAGGTGGCCCTGCTTGTGGCTCTGGACGCGGCCGGAGTGGTGCGTGTCCCAATTGGCCGGGCTCCATTCAGATGGATTCCGTGAATATGGCTCGGATAGGCTGTTTTTGTGCTCTCAAGAAGAGGGAAAGGGATGGATGCCCGGTTGGAATGCCAATGCCCAGGAGCCAGAATCCATTCGCACGGTGGAAAATTGTGTTCAGGGGAAGAACGAAGCGGCGAAGACGCTAGAAGCGCCCAGTTGCCCTTCTTTTGTCGATTGAACCTTTCGCATTTGAACCTCCTCGCCCCTTCATGTTCTTGGGCATGCCACTGACTACCTTCCCCATGGGGACAGCACTGGCGTCCGACGCTCTCTCCCACCCGCTCCCCCTCCCTGGATGTGTCCTCGATCCATTTTCCATTCCGTGACCCGGCACATGCCCGCAGCTCTGGCCCTGGCCCTGGGGCCCCACCCCGCGCATTGCTTGCTCCTCGCGATGCTTCTGTTGAGCGCTTTTCTTGTTGCACAACAGACTCTGCACCATCTCCTCACAGTATGGCGAAGGAGGCACACGCACAGCTGTTTAGGATGGGGTGCCCATTGTGGCCATTACCTGTTTCTCTTTGCAACAGATCTGACCATTCCCGCAGTGGAAAAGGTTTTCACATGCACACTTGTCCCATGAAAGGGCGCTCAGGTCGTGTAACTTTATATGACCTGTTCCTCTCTTGGATTGTAAGAATCGTGCCCCAACCCACACAGGGCGGCCAGCGCGCATGTCAGCTGCTGGTGAGGCCCCCGTGGCCGTCGAGCCTCCCCGCACCATGCACTTCAACCCTGACCACAGCAACAGCGTCAGCCTGACTGGCCACGTGATGGAGCCGCCCCAGCGCCGGCAGGTCAGGGGCGACCTGACACTCGTCAACGTGGTGCTGGGCTGCACGGACCCGGCCAAGGGCCGAACGCAGCGTTTCAAGGCGTCGTTCTGGGGGGACAATGGGGAGCAGGTGGCGGCACACGTGCAGGCGGGGATGGAGCTGGCGGTGAGGGGCAGGCTGAGGCAGTACCGGGAGGAAGTGACGATCAGTGTGGAGGAGTTTTATGTGGTGGAGGGCGCGTACACCCCGGCGCCTGAGCTTGGTGGGTCTGACTCCCCTTGACCTGATCGGGGTTTTGTTTTCATGTCACTGTCATGATGCATTCATTCAATCCCTTTATCCCTGAGTGTGTGCTTATGTCACACTTTTCTTATGTTGACTCTGCAGCTGTATTTGCAGCATTCTTGTGATGCATCTTTGCAATACAGAAAGCAGTGTCTTGTGTCTTGTTGTGTTGTAACAAACATGTGTCACGTATCTCTGGAGTTGGGGATGTCTCTGATTTGGCATTGAGGGATGCCCTTGGCTTGGGTACTCTCCTTACACATGTTTGCTGTATGGTGGTATGGACAGTCGACTTGGTGCTTAATGGATAAGTGATTGCGCAACATAAGGCTTTCGGAGGGCAGAAGTTCGTGCAGCAACATCATCTGTCAGGACAACTGTGCATCTGTAAATGCCACAAGTTTGCACATTGAACAAATAAGAAGGAAAAATGTGGTCAAAAGAGTCTCAAAATGCTTGTTTCAGCTCCAGCGACTATCTGGAAGAGAAGTTGTGACAACACAGGCCCAATATTCCCAAAGCTGTGACATGTACGCGAAACTGCCCAAGCTACAGCCCAGTGCCCATGTTATGTTTCAGACTGCAGTTGTTTCTACTAGTACTACTATAGTTCCATTACTGTGGCATCAGGGCACCAGGGTAACGGGTACTATGTGCTTGACAAGGTTTATTTATTGACAATGTTGCCTGTGAGCCAGAGTTGAGCATGCCATTGGAGACAACCAGATTGCTTGCTCACGACTGGATGGATAGCCTCAATGCCCTGAATCAGGATTGGCCCACCCCAGTTTTGCTGTACCTGTTTTGCTCAGTTGTTCTCCTGTTCTCCACCTGCAGCTACACAAGAAGCTTCGCTGCCAAGCCTGGGGCCAAACAAACTCGACTGCTACGATCTCTACCAGAACAACAGGGCAGAGGTGGTGCAAATTGCCCAAAGGAAGGGCATCAAAGAAGCCACTGTAATCGGCTACGTGGCCGACTGCGGTGCCGCTGGCTATCCCTTGGACTGGAGCAGCCTGTGCAGAGATGCCTACTTGGGACCCAGAGAGTGTGTCATCGCTGTGACTGCCGATGCAATCATGGAGGCAGCAGAGGAGTGCCTTTCAAAGGGGAGTGAGACGCTGGAGTCGCTGCAGGCATCGCTGTCAAAGGTTCGGGAGGTGTTGCGGCAGGGGCCGAGTGGGCCGATGGTTGAGGCGCAGGAGGACGCACTGCTGGGCTCCGGCTTCACGTACGCGCAGATCAGGATTGTGCTGGCGATGATGCAGTTAGGCATCTCACCCGATGAGTGGAACCACTTCATCCCCCATCCCCAAGCAGGTGACCAGGTGGAAACATCTGTCTTCTGAGCTGTCTTTGCTTTAAAGTTTCCAGGCTGAGAGTTGTGCATTGTGTCAGATCCAATGCCATACATGTGTTGAGCTGAGCTGATGTTGTTGGCATCATTTCAGTGTTTCATTGAACTTGAGGCGAACAATGAGTGAGTGTCATGGTTGGGCGGACTACTGACGCAAAATTCAGTGGGTTTGGGGTGTGTACCGATCCAAGAGCCAGCGCACTCTCCAGCGATCAAGTTCTGGTTGACGTGCATCGGGAGATGAAAGCTGGTCAAGGGGTGAATGGCGCCAATGGGAGAGATTGTGATGTGTGCTGTGAGGCATTTGTGAGCAGGCATCTGTAGTCACTAGGTGCAAAAAATGGGTGATGACTGGTGGCAGGTGCCGAGCATGGCTACTGTGTTTGTTGGAAGCAGGCTTTCTTTGCACAGACACAACATTTGTTGGTGGACATCCCGAGCATGGGAGTTGCGATGTAACTGTAGATTGTGCAGTGGTAGTGGTAGTTGGTAGCCGACCCCAGGTGCAGAGTGTGCCGCAGGGGGATGGGTTAAGTGCACCTGTGACGTGGGCATCGTTGTTGTTTGTCAGCTCAGTCGTTGTTCCAGTGCAGGCGCATCATGCCACCGTTCCTTTCACAGCATCCACAGCAGTCCCCTGGTGGCTCGAGACTGAATGGCACCCAGACACTTGAAATTGATGTACCATCTCGAGTCAAGGAAATGAAGTCAAAGGAAAACCCGGAATACCCCTGAAAGGAGTTGGTTCTTGGGGCTGCAGACCAAGCTGGAGATGCAAAAAATTAAGGACGGAGACCTGGCGTTTGTTGGTGTTGTACTTCAGGCCATCTGAACAACAGGAACAACGACAATGGCGCGCGCCTAGACTCTCAGTTGTATCGATTTTTCCCAAACGTTACTAGACAACTTAGTTGCATCGATTGCATCATTTCGTTATTAAACTATGGTGTACAACTTGACGATGGAAATAGACCCGAGTTTCCTGACACTGCCAGGAAGCTACAAAGGCAGCACTTCGCTTTGAATTGACGGATGCAGGCAAAATGAATAGCCATCACTAGGTGCAGTGCCCTGAACGAGGGTGCAAAGTGTCTTGCCTGTGCAAGGCAATGTTTGGGAGCCAGGGACCTGCTGTCGTGTCAGATGGCGGGCCAGTAGCACGCAGAGGTATGAAGAGAAACCCACGTGTTGAGCTATTGCATATCCACCCACCTGCGTTCCACGCATCCATCCGCCCAAAACACATACGACCGACAAACTACCACAAAAGCGCGCCGACAACGTAGAAGTGCGCAGAACAAGATGCTGATCACAGGATTCCTCAACTTGAGCTCTGCATTGGTCACACCCGGTGGCCGGGCACACCAGGGGCCCACGCTTGGATGCACGAACATTAAAAATGGTTCGTCGGCAAACAGACGAATCGCATCTGTTTCAACACGCCCACACGCAACAAATTGTCGAGTCGTTCTTGTAGAAGCAAAGTAAAAATCGGCGGCCGGGGCGAGCCACTCTGACCCACCCCCCACCCCACCCCACCCCGGCCGCCTTCCCCACAATCAAGCAGCCCATTACTGTTACACAGGTCCCTGCTCACCCCTCCGTCGCCCCAGCCCCCCAACCCTTTCGCGCACTTCCGCGCACCTTCCGCAGTCCTCCACCCACCTTCCTCCCACGTTCCTTCCATCTTCCCTCCGCCGCCTTCCTTCCACCTTCCGGTCGCCTTCCATGCAGCTTCTTATTCCCGGCCAACCCCAAACCTGGTTCAAACGCCCCCGAGTGCCCAAAACATGCTCAGGACGGGTCCCTGGACCGCGCGTCCGGCGCGGGCAGCGCGAACCGAGCCACCTCGCTGCCCTGCAGCAGGCCAACCACCCCCGTGCCCTCTGTCGCCCCCGACGGCAGAAACAGATCGTGCTTCTGGTCCCTGTACGCCAGCCACACGTCGGATGCGTCAAGGATCTCGGCCACCCGAGCCCCATACGCGCCCTCCTCCGCCAGTAGATTAAGCACATCAACGGCCAGGACTCTCAATACAGCGAGATCGCGCTGCTGCGTCTGCTCCTCGCCGGCGTCCTTGGCCTGCACTCCCCCGCGCTGCCAGTCCAGCAGCATGAGCAGCCGATCGGGGAGCCTCGCCGCCAGCGCCTGGCCCACCAAGAAGTCCCTCGACCGGTTGGCCACAGTCAGAGCGCGCTTGAGTGACTCCAGCGCCAGCACGTTGCCCCCCACACCCCAGAGCATCGTCCCCATCAGGATTTTGATGATTGGCTCCGAGCAGCCCGTGAGGGCCTCCGCGGCCGCCACGCTGGCCAGCAGCTGGTGCAGCATGCGCAGGATGCTGCCGCCCACCTCGTCGGGCTCGAGCATCTCCATCCTCGGTTGGGCAGGGGGAGGGGGCGACGGGGCGCGGTCGCCAAGTGCCCGGACGAGATGCTTCATGTAGCCCAGGGAGGTGGCGTGGTCGGCCAGCAGGCCGTGGACCTTGAGCAGGGCGACGGAGGCCGCGGAGAGCAGCACCGGGAGGTCCGGCGGGCATTGGGGGTTGCCTGCGGGCAGGGGGGGCGGAAGGGAGGTTGGGGGGGTAAGATCTGCTGCACGCCGAAAAGAAAACGCATCGTACACCAGGGCACCCCTCCAAAGCCAAGTGTGTGTGAGACTCTGTGCATGGCATTAGGAGTCAACAGACGCATAGACTTTTTTTATGTTTAACATTAGATTTCCCCACTGTGCATTACGTTTTGCGGGGGAGCTCCTTGCATAGATCAACATGTAATACATAGGGATTCCAAAAAAAACCATTAGATTTCAATGAACTGATCATACACACTATTTTGCTCGGGCAAAATAGGAAGCTGACGGCTACCTCATTGCCTTGTGCTGTAGAAAATGATATGGGTCAGACCCTGTGCCATACGATGAAACGATGATGTAGAATCTCCCAAGCGGCGAAGAACACAGCACAAGCGCCACAAGGGAGGTGGGGGTTGGGCTGTTTGCAAATTTCTTTTCAAGGAGTTTGGGCAGATTTGCCAACTTGCTGTTAGCAGGGCGTTTGGGTGGAGTTGATGGGATACTGGCATGTGGTTGCATGCGCCGTCAGCGCCTTGGTCGGACGCAGTGGCCAGGTCCTGTTGCGCTGCACTGCCACTCAAACCTGCCCAAGGGCGGCTGCAGGAATGTCAATCCTCAACCACACACTTGAAACATGCGCAACGAGTTTGACATGGTCTGTCAATAACACTGGCCAGGAAGCATGGAGCAAACGTTTGAAAGATATGATTAGCAAGGCGATTGTCAACGGTTGATATCTCAGGGCCATGATCGATCAACAGTGCGACAGTGGACAGAGCTAATGGCTGTGAACATCAGCAGCCATGAAAGGCGGCCACACTCACCGATCTCCTGAACATATCGTTCCAACAGACCCTCCAGGAACTCCTTGGGCCTTCGCAATGGTGCCTTGGGATCTTTCATGTACAGCCGGATGTACACTCCCCCAATGTACAGCTCCCCTTGCAGCTCATCGTGCTCCAACGTGAAGGCGCCTGGCAGACTCCAGTCCAGAGGTCCTGAGGCCTGCATTGCCAGTTGACAAAACTGATCCCAGATTCTGCAACACTTTGCGTTTGTGTCACAAACACGAAAGTGCCCCATCCACAACAGTGATTACAGAAACGGTGCTTGGCACACAAAGAACACTGCAAAGCTTTTTTGTCATACAAGGCTCTGAAAGCATGAATGAACAATCTATTGTTTCCAAGCCATCCAAGCGAATCCATTGTACATGTTACTATAGCGAATTAGAGCAAGGCAATCAATTACATTGTTACACAATTGCATTTTCAGCAGTTGTAGAGCTTGACACTGGCTGAACGGAACAGTAAACTTGCACTGGATGCACACTTTCCACTCCTTCTGTAGAGGTTTTGCAGGTTCAGAGAAGCGGCCTGAAGTGACCTAAACTTTAACATCATTTTCATTTCCCGCAAACTGTCGATTTAGGAAACGCCAGTTGAGGCAACAAGGAGACAACTCTGTTTTGTATTGCACAGAAAGACTGGGAATAATGGTTCAACGTCAAACCTTGATCCACATAAGCACTGTTTTTTATCCACACACACAAACCATTAAAACTAATGCAGTATCCATACATACAGACAAACGACAGCACAAACAGTGGCCAAGCCCGTCCTCGTTGAAACATCCAGATATGGGCGCCCACCTGTGCCGATCTGCAAGTCGACGCGAGTGCCTCCACTTCCTCCGCCGTTGTTTGGTACATTTTCATCGTCCACAGACACTCTGGCGTCTCAGAAGCTTTCCCCAAAGAGTCCACCACAGCCTCCCCTGTGCCGTGGCCACCACACAGCCGGCATGAATCAACATCGTGGTTTGCATTTAAAACTTGGTGTTATGATGAAATAGCCTCCGCAAGCAAACAATGAAACAAAGCCAACAAGGTCAGGCTCACATTGTTCGCGGGCACAAAGGCTCACAGAACTGTGTCTGCATGTCCCCATGGAAATGCAAATACATAGAGATGCTGAAAACGCAAACACCAGTGAAGATTCATAGCAATATAAGGACGGGTTTCATACTGTACGGTGTGTCCACGGCAGCAGGTACAAAAGTGCTCTGACTTCATTTGTGATTACAGGCAAAAAAACGTGCACATGAACAACAAAGGCAAATGTGGATCAGCTCCACAAGCGTTCGTTTCCACAATAACACTGACCAAACTTGCCTGGCCAATGACAAGTGGGCAGGGAATGGAAATCAGTGCACTGCTAGCATATTCAATTCGGATTTTGGTTGCAGGTTGGGAGTTTACGAAGACTTCTTTGTGCCACTGCGCATGAAGCTGTGCCCTTGACACTATTCGATACCAGCAATAACGTGGGCGCTCACCTGGGCCGTCCCGCATGCCTGCCACAAGGCCAGGTGGCAGGATGCGCCCAAGGAGCAGCACCACTCTCGGCCCGTGCAGGGTCTGGGCCATCAGACGACTCAACAGGTTTGCAACCTCCACGCGCATACCCTCATATGCCGGACGGCTGGGGGCATCCGCTGCGTCCGAATCTGACGTTGGGAGCAGCACGGACAGAAGGTACAGGACGCCGCCTTGGCATGCAGCAGCCCAGGCAGCCTGTGGGAAGCCTGGACACAGGAACATCAAGTTGAGCCTCGACCACGCAGATGGCAGAGCTCCAGTGGCTGTGTCATGACGTGTTGTGTGACAGTTTTGCAGCGCTCATTAAGAACGAGGGAATCGATTTCACCTGCGGCTTCTTGCACTCTTGTAAGTGGACTACACTTGTTTGCACTTCTACTACAGCACCCATACCATGGAAACACAGTTTGATGTCCTGCAGCTTGATGCTGCAGCAATGCCTTGTTGCTAAGCAGCCTATCCAAGATGAATTGGCACCTGGTCTCTCAAATACGCCTTTTAACATTGTTTTGTGACAAAAGCTAAAGCAAGGCCTTTGCCACTGGCGATGCGCACATATTCTACAAAACACATGGTTCCAATTGGTTATCTACCCATTCACAAACTGATTGTTGCAGATGACAATAGCTACAGTGAGCATGCAGGGAAAAAGAACTCTTGACCTATTTCGTTTCTGCCATGCATATGTCCTGGCAGACAACATAAAATCCTACACACTGCTCACTGTGCATGTAACAGACAGTCCCATTTCCTTTGCTGCGTAAAGCAACCTGATGAAAGCGTACCAAAGTCTGTGGCATGCCATCGTGGCCTTACCCAGCAATAAAGGCATACCAGGCTATACAATACAAGGCAGCGCATTGATGTAAGAAAAGCAACAATACCTGCCAGGGCGTGTATGAGTTTCAGTGCCATCGAAAGGCAGTTGAAGGATGTTCGTCTGTGCACCAGCCAGAAGGCTTGGGGGATTATGCGTTGAGTTCCCAGGGCGGCAACACATGCCCCGTTCTGAGTTAGCCGAACCAAAATAGAAATGGCGAGCTCCGCAACGTGCACAGCAAATAGGTCATCGTCCTTGCAGATCTCGTCCATGGACTCTCCTGTGCTGCCTGCCAATGCGCACATGCACACTGCAGTTTTAACAGTTCCAAAACAAACATCCAACCAATTTGTAGACAAATGCGTTTGGCGCGTGGAAGCGCTAATGACACAAGGGGGTGGAAAGGGCAGGAAAGTTGGGGGTGAAATTCGAGGGCCCATGGCCAGACAATTGGCCTCCCAATCTGTGGCAACACCAATATAATTGCAGATGGTTCGTTCACGCTGCCATTAAGACTCAGGCAAGTGGTGAGTGGCTCTCATTCCATGATCAACAGGATTGAATGTTAGATTACTGTTCTGTGTGATCATTGCTAAATGTCGACAAAGGATACTGGATTTCCAAAACCTAACTGAACATGTAAAACCCGCAGGCCTCTTCAGACGCCAGCCTTTACAGGTTGGCTTCAAGAACATATGCACAAAGACCACACAAAAAGATACACAATAGCCCATGTCTTAGGTGGTCCCTATAAGAGAGGGTGGATAAGGACAACCAGAATGATGTCCTGCTTGATGCACAGCGGAGCCAAATATGCAAAGCCTGGCTTTGCTTTGTCTTGCTCCACAATGTGGAGTCCACTTCGGTTCATCTATGTTCAGTCTTTAAACAGAAGAAACCAATGATGCACAATGGGCACCTGCCTCCCAAAATTAAGCTTGCCCATGCGAGACACAAGACCAATTAAAGCGATCGCAACTGAAGTGCAAAACAAGCAGCAATTCAACAAGAAAACAAAAAGAAACAACACCAGTCCCAGTCAACTGCCAGAAGAACACACAGTATAGCGTTGACAATGCCGCCTTGTGCTGTTGGCAGACATCGACACGGACGACGCATGCATGTGGACGACGCATATCCTAAGGCTCACCCTTGCGCTGGGCAAATGCCTTCTGGTGGCCCATCTTGCAGACAGGATCCAGGCAGCTCAACAGGGGCGCCAGTGCCGGCGCCGCGGCCAGCAGTCCCATCAGCCTTGGAACATTCTCAAACAGGTTCTGCAGTGCCGTCAGCGTCTGCAAGAAGTGCCTCTTCTGGAGCATGGTGAGGTCGCTGAAGTCCTCACGGCCACCAAGCTTGGGCCCCTTCAACTTGCCATTGCCAGTGTTCTGTGCGGCTGCAGCAGGGAGGGCAACAGTGGTGTGGATGAACCGCACAAGGCCTTTACAGAACTCCGCAGGTTCATAGAGCTGGAATGTCGGCTGTTCATTGTACACCCGAACAAACACGCCACTGATCTGCAGCTCCCCTTCGAGTGCATCGAACCGAAACTCTGCAGCCGCATTGGCATCGGGGCATTCCCGCTGTGCCTCCATAAGAGACAAAACCTCTGCGCGCATTTTGCCATTCCAGATGACCTGCAATGCCCAATCGCAGGTCGTGAGTGTGGATCCCATTCTTCAGTGCCCTTTGACTGGCATATTACAATTAGTATGTCATGATGGGTATGAAGATGTTTTCAGTTTTGAATCCAGTATTATCGCCATAATTCTGTTCTTTTGATTGGTGCAGTTTCAGTTAGGTGGAGGAAGCAGCACTCACAGTGCCGATGTCCACTGTATGGTGATCAACAGCAGTCCACACCTGTGGGGTTTCTGTGCTGCTGTTCAATATCCTCAACAGCCCTCTGGGATCGGGGTCAGACAGCCTTGCCACAAGGGACTCAGTGAGGAGGGCCTTCAGGGCGGCAGCAGCTTGGGGCATCTCCTTAGTGGCGTGCTTCCCACACATCATGCCCGCAAGTCTGCAACAAGACAAGGACATAAAACGTCATTTTTACTGTTACCTGCCATTTCATTGTTTCCATCCTGCAAAATGGTGCACTGCTGCCACTCAGCCATCTTGCAGAAACTTAGGAAACCTGCCCTGTTGCCACAAGGGCAAACTGAGCAGCTTCTGCACGGTCTTCAGTGGGCAGTCCCCAAAATTTCAGTAATGAGAGACACAACCGAGTCAAGCACTCCTTGTGATTATTTCAAAGAAAAGGACACAGAATGCTGGCCTGCACATACATTCCCCAAGGGGAAGATACCCACAGCTCACAAGACAGGATCTCATTGCCTGCATCAATCATCCGACAGCACCACTTCCTTCCTACCTGCCAAGGACATGGGCAGCAAGCATGGCATGAAAATTCTTTCTGGCCTGCATGTTTGCAGTCTCCATGCCAAGCCCAAGAAGCTGCCCAAGCAGGCTTCGGCCAGGACCCTCCTCAGGGGAAGTGCTGAATGGAGGTGGCAGGGGAGCCTCTGGGTCCTCTTCCGTCGTGTCAAAGCACAAAGTCAAAGGAACCACGTATCCCAGGACGCCAACGTCCAGCATGAGCAACTGCAGCTCTGGAGACAGGGCCATATGTGACAGGCATAGGAGAGCTGCATCAACTGCAGCTGGAACGCGCTCAAAAGCACAACACCTTCACAACAAAACACATATGGGGATATCACCCGATGACAGCAACCAGACAGTGGCAGGATGGCGACTTGGAGAGGAGACAAGGTCAGTTCTGGCATGTGTGTAAAAGAGAAAGAGAAACAGGTCACACAAAGGACACCCCCTCCCAAGCAAGTGCATGCGAGACTCCTTTTCATGCTGTGAAAGACTGTGTAGAGTCTGCATGTAACACAAGCAACACAAAGGCAAGAGGCATGTGAGGGGTGAAGTGGCATCAGAAGTCGATGACAAGCACCGCCAACGCAACCTCTGCCCATACCGACTTCTTCAGCAGAGTCATGCGCCCCCTGCTCCCCAGCGTTACTCCCAGCTGGTGTATTGCACTAAATCCCTTTCATCGACTAAGCACGTGCCAAGGCTCGCTTTGTCGGATTGAACAATACTTTCTCAAAGGGTTTGTGAGTGAAATAATGCACCTCTTAGCCATGCAGCGGCTTTCCAATCATAAGTGCTGCCTAGTGGCCACTACCCACCACAGGGCGAACCTCTTCCCCCAAAAACCAGAACAGGAAAATCCAGGTGTCCGTGAGAGCAAGCCGAACTACACACCTGACTATGTCAGTAACAAGCAGTGCCCTGTCTTTGAGCTCCCTCCTTGCATTAGCGAACATGGACAAGCCAGCAAATGTCCGCAGGGCATTCGTCGCGATGATGATGGCAGGTTCTGTTGCGGCAACGTCCATTGGCACCACAGAGATGCACCGCATCAACAACCGACCAAGGATGTCCACACCAGCTGACCTTGTGAGCTCTTCCCCATTCAGTGGTGAGCACACACAAGTAAGCCAGCACAGCGCCACTGCCGTCTGCAACAGCAAGTGCAAGGTCACGGGCAGGACTGAACACCATGTGGGATGCAGGATTCCCACACAAAATATGGATGTGACAGCACAGCGAAGACAGAAGGCTGCACCAGCACCAGTGTGACTATGATTTCGCTTCAGCAACGGTACACAGGTTCACCAGATACCATCTGCAGGGAATGATAGCAGTTCATGACATCGCAACAAATCAAGTCAGCTTTAAAATCTGGTGGTAAACAACATTCTGGCGCAAGTCAAGGTGCCCTGGGCCAAATTTGACAACAACACAACCTGCTGTTCAAAAGAGGGATTTGCGGGGCAGTGTTGTGTAGTACCTTCTTACCTCATGGCGTGTCAGCTGTCGACAGCAATGGTGGGCGAAACTTAAATGGGAAGAGAAATAAACAACTGCAGCTAAACTGCAATCTGCACTTTTGATTGCCACAATCAATTTTCAAGACCAATAATGCTAGCGTGTGCAGATATCACACATAACATCTGCCAACATTGCCCATCCTTTCTGTTGGATTCCACTGGAATGGGAACCAAATGGCTGGAAGGGAATGGACAAGTATGAAGCACGCTACTCCGCTCATTAAATAACCAAATGTTGTGCATGGGCCACACTTTGCTATCCATGAAGAGTGCACTCAAAGCTTTTCTCCTACCCCATAAATTCACACAAATGAGACACCAGATGTGTGCACAGACACCTTCGCCCAGCAAAGGGTGCACTCCCAACTGGCCTGCAGCCAACCCATAAGAGAGTTGCATCACCACACCTGAAGCTGAGGTGCCCTCTCATCGCTGAGGAAGTGCTCTCCACTGCCGTCCTCTGGCAGTGTGACTGCATCCAACAGCATGGGGTAGCCAGCATACTTGAAAGGATGCAGAACATCTGGGTATCTTCGGAACAGGATGCACTGAGCCTTCAGCACAAGGAGGATCCTCCATGGCTGTGGACAAAAGCATCAAGAGGCATCACATTAAGGTTCAGGGCATGCCGTGATGATGATGATGAATTCCTTAATAACATAGCGTTCACTAAAACACAACTCCACTCCCACCAGCATAAACATGATGTCCACAGGCATGCTGTGTGGAATGAACATTCAGCAAATATAGCAATCTTCCATTGAATGATGTGCGGCCACCATCGTGCGCAAGGGCTGGTGAAGAGCACTGCTTGCAAAAGCAGTTCTGGCAGTTGCATTACAAGACACTTAAGGGATGGCTGCATGCCAGCCCCTGGCTTCACCAGACTACCTTTCTGTCAGGCTTGCAAGGTGAATTTTAGATGGGAACCTTGTACAGAGACAAGCACTGATTTTAGGTGCCCGTTGGGTTGCTGTATTCGCCAACCTGCATGTATTCTGATATCTGGTGCAACTGCAGTGTACAAGAAAATTTCTACTGCACACACTGTTGTGGATGGCATCGCTGTCCTCCACATTGAAGGCTTTGGTTTCGTACTCCATCACGGGATGAATCCATGCAGATGTTGTCCGTCGTGCCCTACACACCTGCGTTCCTTGGCCCCCCGCAACGCCCGCCTGCAGCCGTTCAAATGCCTGCTGGATTTGCACAAACTTCTCCTTGCCTTGAGGGTTCTTGTCTGGGTGGTACTTAAAAGCCATCTTCCGGTATGCCCTCTTGAGAGTCTCCTCGGAAATGCAACCCTCTTCATCAGGCTCAACACCAAGGAGGGCTGAAGCATCCTTCTCACTCATGCTCATGGGCTTCCGGGTCAGCTCGCCACGCCACTCCGCCAGCAACGCCTGCACAATGCACTTGGGCCGTGACAATGAGGTGCAACAATATTCGTTTCTGGGAATACTGAAATCATTCAACAAGGTGCCAAAATGAGACCAGAAATTTGTGTCAACAGAAGTCCTCATCGAAGCAAAGCCGGACCCGCGATGTTTCAGTATGTATGCTTCATGCCATGAACCGCTTGACTCAAGACAACAAATAACAGGACTTGCAGCCTGCAGATAATCGTACGGCAGTTGTTCAAAAAATGTTCTAGACGCCCTTCAGAATGACAGCATTGCCAACTTGTTGTCTCACAAGCCGATGCACTTATCCTACTATATTCACACAGAACAGCTTCGCAGTGGACACAAGTGTAGTCACTTGTACCGACAGTCAAAAACAGCACAAAGGACACACAAACTGTGAACGAAATGAAATACTTGACTGTCTTGCAGTCCATGCATGGGCAAGTCTACTGTTGTGCTCCCTGCCACTCCCCCAAACCATGGCAGTTTCCACAGGGTAAAACTCATCTCCTGTTGACTGTGTAGACATGTTCTTAGCACCAAGGACAAAACCTCTTCAGCCACATACCAACAGATCAGAGGGGCGCACGCACCTGAAGCAGTGGCACATGGTCCACAACTACCCAATCCCTGAAGCGAACCTCATCACACAGGTTACGAAGATAATACCGATGGCACCAGATCTCATCTGTGAGCTCTGGATACCCCACTGGTGGCAGGGGTGTGTACTCGTACACTGAATGGGTGTGCTCCCACAGCCGGTAGGGGAACATGCCCAAGTGGTGAAGCATCTGTGGCACCAGGCGGTTTCGACGCATTCTGTGAGTCCACACGAGTTCCGGCGTGTCTCCGTCGCTGACCATCGCATCGGCAAAGGCTTCAGGTCCATGGGTCTCCAGGACATACAGCAGGCTCTCAGGCACAGTGTTTCCAAGGAAACTCCTCCGGGAGAGGGGGAGACCCGCGTGTGATGTCTCATCTTCTCCCCTGGGGCACAGGCAATAGGCGTCAAAGCTCCAGTACAGCCAATCTGTGCATTTGTTGAGCATTCACAGTATTTCAATTCTTTTTCAGCCACGGGCTACAGCAACCAATGCAGCAGGTCTCCTCACAGCCTGAACTGATGATGTCCAGAGGACGCATCAAAGGGCTGGTCAACAGAAAGATAAGGGCATGTTGTGCGTGTCGATCTGTCCTCCCTAAGCCTAGACAGAACTCCTTGCCTTTCTGTGTGCATCTGTGACGTCTCATAAAGTCACACTGATGTCCATTTCACAGCCAACAAAAGCTAATTTTCCCCCTCTAAAGAAGGATAAATTGCACCTGCAGAAAGTTCATGTGGATGAAACTAACGACAGTCAGGAGGGGGCTGTTTAGTTTGTGAACTAACGTACCAATCTTCCAGCAATGGCGTGACATTTTCCCTGTAATCCGCTCACAACAACCACAACAGCACACACAAAGGACAACAAAAATCGCAACTTGCATACCTGAAGGTCTGCTTGAGATGCGTTGCCTGGAAAAGCTTTGCAATCTCAACCAGGTTTGACCCAGAGTAGGCAAGGCAGAAGAAAAAGACGCCGGTCAGGTACAGCCGGGGCAGCACACTCCGATTGTGTTCAACTACAACACGCAGCAGAGAAGCGGCACCCGAAACAAGGACTGGATCTCCAGTGAGGATAACCTGAACACAAGCACACACATACACTGGACAAAGGTAATATTCTGATTCATGACTGCGCAGGCAGCAGTATCTCAAACACTAGATTCCAATTGGAGGCACCTTGTTAAGATTTTGCAAGCCATACACAGGCAAGGGAACATCATGCAGGGGCATACAACTTCCTCTGTACACACAATGCCTCGCTGCAGGCACACGCTGTGAAAGGCAAACCTTGTATCAGGTTTGGTTCCTCCATTCAAGGATGCATTTACATTTATTAACATTCACATATCACACACGACACACTCACAACAATGCACATAAGTTCAGACAAATTTCTGCAGCCCCGTGCTTACAATATCCATTTCAAAGCCATAGTTTCCAGTCAAATGCACTGCAACAGGCCATGCGAATGTTCAGAGGCATTCCTCACCTGGCATATATGTGGCAAACACTGCTGGGACGTTATCTGCCTGTGGGCCTTTGGCAACGGCTGTAAGACCTCCCCAGTGACCTCAATTGCAGATTGATTTCTTGCCAGGGTGTGCAGAAGCCGCAGGGCAAGGCGAGCAAGGCCAAACGAATCCAATGAGCCAGATCGCCGTGACACGAACCATCTGTGAAGGCACCCACATTTTAGAGCACGAATCAGAGGCGGAACTCTAGGGATGGGAGCTTGTTTGTGGGAGTTGTACTAATCACTGTAAAGCAAAATGCCATTGACCTGCATGTCCTGTGGTGAAAGGGATTTTCGCACACTGGCCATTGGATGCCTTGCAAGTTTGGAATCAGAAGAACAACATAGTGTCAAGCCGTGTAAGCAGGCAAAGCAAGGTTACTATCTCGCTGCTGGTCACCCACGGATATGCAGTGATTCTGCCCACTCTGTCCACACATTCACGTCTGCACACAACGTCCCCTCTATCCACACATTCGTCCCTACATCGCCTCGTAAGGTGCCAGGACAGTGTTTTGTCATGTTCATGTGACAAATGTAATCAAAGGATTTGGACACATTCGTACAAAACGTCTCACAATATCATCATACCATACAGAACATCTGAGCATATCAACACAAGCGCACAGCACCAAACACCAAACACCTCCAAACATCAGCAAGGCCATGCACTGACAAGTGACGTTCCAGCATCCGGATAGGACACAACAGGCGCCGAATATCAATCATCAAGAAACAGTGTGACAAGCCCATAAAGAAGGACAACCTCATGTGATGTGAAACACGAAGGAACCTGATTCTGACACCCACCGCAGCTCTCGTATAGAATACAGGGGCTTAGGTTTTGTCATACCATCTGCCCAGAATTTCGTAGCTAATGACAATTTGGCTTGATTGAACAATTTTCGAATTTCCTGCTTCTTGATTGGGCCGATACGGCCATCCACATTCATTACAGTCTCCTGTGCTTCATCCCTTCCACTTGTCCCTGGTTCGCCTGAGTCGGGCAATCCTTGCAGACACAACAAAGAGCCTCAGGGCATGAAAAGATTGGATTATAGAGAAAGAAATGAAGAATTTTCAGTTTGCACGGCCCCCAATTAACATGCCTCAGCTCTTACAGCATCGGGGGTTCAGTTGGTGAGCTGCAGTGGTGGGTAGTGCTGTTGCCAGCACTGCCTCCCACAGGAATGAAAGACCATCTCAAGATGCAGTTTGCAGGTTCATCTTACACTTTGGTTTCAAGCAGCGCGGTGCATATGACATTCAGAAAAGGTCAGAAACTGTATCAAGCATTCCAGTACATGTCACCAAATCTATTTTCTAGGACTGTTGTCCACTGTTGATGTGTCCAAGCAGCACTGTTGCAGCCACATCCCTTGTTCTCATCTGAACCACTCTTTATATGGACCGAAAAACACTTGCTAGTCCACATTTTCAGTCCTCTCCATCTTCTTGCGTATTTTCTTGCCAGTATTCCAATCTGCACTTCTGATGCAAATTCAGGTGTTTTGGGGTTGAACAACAGCAACAATGCACATGCCGTTGTCTGAATGCAGCACGCACAGACGATATCTGACAGGTCGTTTTGGCACCTCTGCAATGCCATCCATTCCCTTACCTGGAGGGCGGGCATCCTCATCATAATAGTACCACTCCGGCTTCATGTCTTCATCTGCAACAGCTGTCAGCAACTCTGTCTTCAGAGGGACGTGGCCAGACCTCTCTTGAGCTTCATGAGCACCAGCAAGGACATCTGCGCACAGGGGGATGCCCCCGGCATTTATGAAGGCTCGTCCATTTGAGTGCGCTGCCTTCTGTGCCTGTTTGTCCATGGCCTCAGGACTGATCAGAGCCTCAGCCAATTGAAATAAGCAGCAACGTAGGCTGTGCCTCATGGTGCCATCCATGAGCTGTGTTGCATGCGACACACCGTCAAATGGGCCTATGACACCTGATTTGGGCAGAACACAAGCACTGTCAGCAGTAATTATGACAAGCCTCCGATAGAACATCCACTGTTGGGTGCAGTGATATTGTGTCCTAACTTCCTTTGGGCAGCTTGGCTTTGACCATATGTTGCACATTGCATGCAGGGGGAGCGCACATGTTGTTCCTATGTTTCCACCGCAGTTGCCTTGCATAGAATGTGTTTATTAGGTCCTATATTCTGTGCTTGATCTTGCAGTTTTCTGTAGCTATTCGCAATGCCTGAACTTACATTCTCATTTCCAGGGTTCCCATGCTGAAATTGGACAATGATGGACGCACTTAGGAGTTGAATTCCCAGACCATGGTGAAGTACAGAAGCACTAGCATGGGACATTGGAACACTGCCACTTGTTCATACTTAACGTGATCAACGTCAACTACAAGCTGACAGCAATTCACAACACCAGGGAACTTTTAAAGGTGAAAAGAAGCTGTGGAATACAAACTTGTACAGATTCCCATACTGCACTTCTTACACTGGTATCAAACTTATATACACAACATACAAAATCAGTATAGAACAAAACAAACAAGCAAGGAATGTGCACCTGCATGCTCAGAGTACACTGCAGCCATTGCCTTTATGCACAGCTCCCGCTCCTCCTCAGGATCGCCTTCCACAAAGGCAGTGACACTATCCTTCTCATCCATCAGACGCAGCGTGCCATCAGGGTCCGCCCGCCGATCCAGGTGCAGGCTGGCATCAGCCGTGCACAGGAACCGGTGATAAAGCGCATTGAAAAAGTCCTTGGGAGACACAAGCCCTTTAATGGAACCTAGTGTGTGCCATAACACAGTTAGGATTAGGGCAGGTTGTCTCTGGTCCCAGC